GTGCTGATCCCCTAGCGTCCCTACCCCCTGCGTCCCGATCCCCGGTGCCCTGACCCCTCCGTGTCCCGACGCCTCCCACGATCCCATCCCCCGTAATCCTACTCCCTATGTCCCCATCACCCCTCGCCGCCGCCGTCCCCTCCCTCCCTGCCCAGCCCCGCGGTCGCGGTCCGTGCTGTCCCCGCGCTGTGACCCACCCGTGTCTCGGGGCCAGGCCGGCACCATGGCAGGACGCAGAGCTGCCATCAAGGCTATAGATTGGGCGGCGTTCGCCGAGAGGGTCCCCCCGAACCAGAGGGCCATGTTCAACGCGCTCAAGACCCGCAGCGACGCGCTGTCTGCCCGGTGAGTGCCTGCCCTGCTCCCGCCCCGGGGCGGTGCAGCCCTCAGCCCACCCACCCAGCCGGGAGTGCTGAGCCACTGCTGCTGCTGCCTGTGGTCTTGCAGAAGTGTCCTCACAGGTATTAAAGCAGGTCACCTTGAGGCAGCTGGTGGCTTTTTTTGGCAAATCATCTTTAGTTAATCTTCCCTAGAGGAAACTCAGTGCTGCAGTGAGAAGGAGCAGTTCTCTGAGAGCTTTGGCACATCCAGAATGGTTTATGGTCTGTTAAATGCTGTACAGATTCATGTGCAGCTCACAAATCCTTCAGCACCCGCTGCTTGATGCATGTGTTTGCTATTGCAGTTCATGTTGCTCTGGTGAAACTCCTCCTTCCTTCAGGGCTGCACCTGGAGGTGCTGAGGAAACAGGGCAGAGCTGCAGGCTGAGCCCTCCTGTCTGTCCAGAGAAGCCTGTGCCAAGGGTAAAGGGATTTGAGGAAATGGTTCATCATTGCTGGTTAATGAAAAACCTGAAAACATTTAAACTAGACTACCAGGCTCGGCTGCCACTCTGGGAAGTCACTGGGGCAGGGGGCAAGTGATGGCACAGGGTAGCTCGTTGTGACTGCTCTCTCCATGTCCTCAGGTTGGCTACACTGCCAGAGAAGCCTCCAGCCATTGACTGGGCTTACTACAAGGCCACTGTGGCTAAAGCTGGAATGGTCGATGAGTTTCAGAAGAAGGTCAGTCTCCTTGTTAGGAACTGCAGAGACAGGACAAGGGGCAGTGGGTTTAAATTGGAGGAGGGGAAATTTAGGCTGGATATTAGGAATAAGTTTTTTCCCTCTGAGGGTGGTGAGACACTGGCACAGGTTGCCCAGGGGTGTGGTGGCTGCCCCAACCCTGGCAATATTCAAAGCTAGGCTGGATGAAACCTTGAGCAACCTGCTCTGGTGGGAGGTGTCCCCGCCCAAGGCAGGGGCTTGGGACTAGGTGATCTATAAGGTCCATTCCAACCCCTGAAATTCTGTGATTCTTACATTCTTTGCCAGTTGGGTATGACTCTTTGTAGGTTTAACTGGGTGGTCTGTGGTGTTGAGAAGAAAACACCAGGATTGGCAGAGGAGATTGATTTTGGCCTCCCAAGGCTGGGAGCACTCACAGACCTCAGATAGATCTGAGAGGTTTGTCTAGGGGAAATAAAGCTGTGGTAGGATAAGTCTTTGGTATTAGACCTTCCTGCTTGCAGTGCTGTGATGAAGGTTAGTGTTACATGTCCTGGGGGTGGTGGGCAGGACAGAGGAGATGGCTGTAAGCTGCAGGGCGAGCAGTGCTGCTTGTGAGTGGCACAGGACAGCTGCACTCATCAGCTTGAGCTCGTTAACCCACATGGTTGTGAGCAAATCCCAGGAAGAAAAAAGGGAATGCTGCTAGAGAAGAGACCTTTGTGTGTGAAGGATTATTTTGGTCAAACAAACCCTATAAAATGTATCTTTCAATTCACAGTTCAGTGCACTGAAGATTCCTGAGCCTGTGGATACACAAAGTGCCAAGATTGATGCCCAGGAGCAGGAAGCTGTAAGTGCTTGAGCCTTTGCCTAATGCCAGGGTTGTCTCTGCCTTCTGTGAGGAAGGGAAGGGGTGAGAGGGGAGGGATGTGGATGTGTACCTGCACAGGCAGAACAGCCTGAGCCAAGAGCACAGCTCTGTCCTTCACACTTATCTGTGGCTGAGCAAGGGTGTCTCTGCACAGGGAAGGGTTTGGCTGTTTGGGATTTGGCTGAGGTTCTGTCACTTACCCAATGTGATGATGGTGGATTTTAATGTCAAATGGGAGTGCAGGTTCACTTGGGGTCAGTGTCCATGACCACATTCCCCACATGCTCTGCTGTCCTCAGGCCAAGAGCACCGCGGAGTACGTGCAGGCGTCCAAGGCTCGGATCGTCCAGTACGAGCAGCAGGTGAGGCTGCACTTCCCTGGGCAATACCCTCTGTATCCCACTCTGGCACACACCTTGTTCTGCCCTGTGTGTGCTTTGCTGCTTCTTGCTGGCCACTGACCTGTAACGTGTCTGACTCTGCTTCCACTCACAGCTCCAGAAGCTCAAGAACATGATTCCCTTTGAACAGATGACCTTTGAAGACTTGCATGATGCCTTCCCTGAAACCAAACTGGACAAGGAGAAATATCCATACTGGCCTCACAGGCCAATTGCTGATCTGTAAACTGTTCTGGGAGCAGTTTAACATCTGTCAGACTCGATGATGGTATAAATAAAGAGCTTCTTCTCTGTCCGGCTTAGATCTTAGGTGTGAGTTTTAAGTTATGTGGGGCAGTGCACTAACTTGCAAACATTCCACTTTTCCTGGATTTTGTCTTTCCTACTTGTGACTTGCTTTTGTAGTATGGGTCAAGTTCCCAGCCTGTCCTGCTGATCAAAGTGAGTCCTGTTGCTGCTTCTGTAGCACAAATAAGCTCTCCATCCCTCTGTGTAACCCCATGGAGCAGGGAATGGAGTTCTCCTGCCATTGCAGACAGATAGTTGTGTAGAAGTTAAATGTGTGAAGCTCTTTGAGATGCTGCAGAGTATTTAGCAGTGATCTGTGTGTGTCTGGAGGCTCTCAGGAGTTCTCCAGGCAGAGGTCTCGGGCTGTTTCCTAGGCTGGTTGTGTTGGTTTAGGAGAAGCCAATTGCAAAAGGAGTTGAAGGAGTGTCAATGTGTTAAGATGCATATTTAAACAAGGTTATTTTTAGTTATTTTTTCAGACATTTAATCATGGTGATCTTGTCTCCTGGATTTCTGAT